GGGAGGGGGGGAGAAGATTGAAGAGAAAAAGATCTGAGGAGGATCCACATAGGGTTTACAATAGAAAGAAAAGGGGATGGTGGTTCAGGGAGCTTTAGGGGCTGGGGAGATATGGAGCTCAAAGATGAAGAGTTTACAGGGGAAAGTAACACTGAGAAGGGGGTTTTACTTGGCTAAATGAACTATAACCTATTTGTATTCTAATGAGAATTCAATAAGAAAAGAGAAGAAAAACAAGTAGAGAACAGAGGAGAAGAGAAAAAGAAGAGAGAAGAAGAGAGAAGAAGAGAGAAGAGGAGAATAAAGAGAGAGAAAAAGGGTGCTGTTAGACAAGTCTTTCCGCCCCACTCATCTATTTATATATTTGCAATTAAACATTAGTATAATTTCACTAATACCCCTACCTCCTACATAAGAAAGAAAAACATATATAACTAACATAACTACCATGAACTAACAGAAATAACATAAAAAACAAATGCAAATATGAAGTGGGACCACACTAACAACTACCACACTATTTCTCTAAACTCCCCTCAAGTTTGGAATAGATATTGGTCATTCCCAACTTGCGTAAATCTGTCTGCGACTTAATCTTTGTGACTGCCTTAGTGAAGAGATCAACAAGCTGCATATTTGAGGCGATATAAGGAAGACACTTCTTGAGAAGCAAATCTCTTTCTGATAAAGTGTCAGTACACTTCAATATGTTTAGTTCTGTTATGCTGTATTAGATTATGAGCAATGTTAATGGCAGCCTGATTGTCACAATACAACATCGGAGGCTTCTCATATTCAAAGAGTCTTTGGTTTCTTTCCTTCTAGATCTCCCAGCACACAGCAAAGGGAATACAGGTCCATAAAATCTTAGATTTAACACCACCACAGATCCTTGGCCAGCAACTAAAAGTTTCAGCCGGATCTGCCATAGAGCTCCTGCCGACCTTGAACAACTTGAAGAAATAGGACCAAACTGGATATGTGAATTTGCAGTGAAGTAATATGTGAGAAACATCATCCTCTTCAGAAAAACACAGCACACACCTACTTGAAAACTGAAGGTCTCTGAGTTTTAGGTTATCTTGGGTTAGAATGCAACCTCTCACAACCAACCAAGCAAAAGCTTCAGCCCTTGGTGGCACTGGTTTCCCCCAAACACCCCTAACTGGATCAGCCTCCACCTGATTTCTGATCAAAGCTGAGTACATTGAGTTGACTGTAAACTTCCCATCCTTACATTCTTTCCATAATCTGACATCTGCAACTGAGGGATTATCTCCAAGGCCCGAAGTTTTGCCAACAGCTCCAAGCACYCCACCTCCCAATCAAAAAGGGGTCTTCTGAGATTTGGGTTCTAGATCATTGCACCATTAACTACTTCACAACACTTTGAGATATGCACTCCTTTCCTGCTCAAATTGTATAACCTTGGGCATATTTCACAGAATTTTCCACCCCCGGACCAGTCATTTTCCCAAAACCTTATACTTGACCCACTCCCCGCTTTCCAAGTATAGAAAGGGATCATCAAAGAAATTCATCAAAAAAAAAGGGATCATCAAAGAGTTAAAACTCATGATTCCTTTCCACACACTAACTCCATACAAGTGTCTCACCTCGTTTGAATTYCACCCGAAATTCACCACCCCATACGAGTCTATTAATTATCAATTAGGGGCTCTTGAAATGTATTAGTATTTTGTCTGAACATAAGAAGCTTTGGAATGCCATAGAAGTCTTTTGTCAGTTTCATTTAACAAAGACCATGCACAGGTCCCGGCTAGTAAGGAATAAAATGAAAGTTGGAATCTGTGTTAACTTGTTTATGGGATAGCATCAATATCTTAAATTTAGAACAAATTTTTTTTGGTTAACTAGTCAGAGCCCAAACACCAATTAGTCATTCATCAACTGGAGATGCCAAAACAAATAGTTGTAACTCCTCAGTGCTGTTTTTATTTTAAATTTTTTTGACCATGTTAATTAGTTGTTGTGCAATGTAAATTTTCTAATTTAATGAAACATTGATTCCTGAGAAAACACCTTCTCTTTTGTGTTCAGATATTAGGCCTTGAGGAATGTATACCTAGCCTTAAAATTATTCATGTTGCTGGAACAAAGGGAAAGGTATTAGCCCATTCTTAAGTTTTTTTTTTTTTTTTTTTTTTCAACAGAACTTGCACTTCATTTTCTCATATGCCTTAACTGTTGTCTTTTTATCTTTCTATATCATGAATAGAACTTGCATAATTTTTAACATTTTCACATTAATAACTGTTATTTTAAATTTCAACTAAAAAGTTGGAAGTTTCAGGATATTCTTTTTTATGGGTAACTGTTGAACTTTGTTTGATTATTTATAAAGAGTTAAGTTATGTACATTGTTAAGAACCCTATGTATATGCTGATTACATCCTCCTAACCCTTCTTTTATCTTAAAATTACAATTGAGCACAAAAAATAAGGTTGTTCCCCATTGACCCCTTGTTTGGCCAAAGCATCAGCCAAGTTATTTGCATATYGTCTGATCTAATAAAAACTTGCCTCAAGTTCCCTCCCTAGATGTTTGATTTCTTTTATGGCATGCTTGAACTGCCATACTGCTTGACTGTTGTTTGCCAACCATCCAATGACTTTTGGAGTCCCCTTCTACTATTAGCCTCTTAAGGTTCATAGCTCTGCTTAATTTCAGACTTTTTTGGACAGCAAAAAGTTCTGCCCTGAATGAGTCTCCTCCCACCTGACCAATATGCATAGTCAATATGTTGCTGTTTTCTTCCCTAAACACACCCCCAATTCCAGACTGTCCCAGGTTTCCAATGTACTTTTCTAAAGCAATCCATAGTCTTTACCAATGCACCATTTTTATTGTGATGTTTTAAGTTATTTTTGTTTTTCATATGAGCTTTCCCGTTGAAGACTAACATTCCTTTCCTCTTGTATTACCTATGCAATTGCTGTTCTTGTGCACTGCCACATTATTTTGCATATCCTTTGGTTCACTTGGGAAAATTATTTGACCAAATAAACTAGGCACATTTGAAGGAGGAATTCACCTAATATTCAAAGAGAAAAAAATCACTCTCAAATACCAAAAGCAAAAGGGTAGGAGATTAGTAAGTTGATARTGGCTCTCTACTTGCATAAGATAGAAAACAGACATGGCCACATGGGGAGAAAGGCACCAAAATGGTCTCCTTAATCACAAGTGTTTATTTTCTGATGAAAGGCCTGCCAACG